TGAACTTATGGTGCTATATACAAATACACGCTGTTTATAGCTGAATTTATGGTGCTATATACAAATACACGCTGTTTATAGCTGAACTTATGGTGCTATACACAAATACACGCTGTTTATAGCTGAACTTATGGTGCTATATACAAATACACGCTGTTTATAGCTGAACTTATGGTTTTATATACAAAGACACGCTGTTTATAGCTGAACTTATGGTATTATATACAAAGACACTCGGAAAGTTATAAACTGATGATAAATAGAAAACGCCAACAATGACACTAAAAAATTAATAAACAGAGACAAATATTGGGCGAAAGACAAACGTGACAGTAGGAAAGAAAAGGAAAACAGTAAAAAGGACTTTAGTTCTTTTTATCTTCCTTCATTCAGAGAAAGAACGAGTAGAAGTGTGAACTGAAAAGAGAAAAAGCTGAGAAATGGAAGAAAACAGAAAATAACGAAGATACAGGTAAGATAGGAAGCATGCAAAGAGAAAAATAATTGTTTTGTTTTTTCAGTATTTGTTTAGTAATGCACCCTGCTGAATCATATTGAAGGCTAAACCTGAAAATTAATTGACATCCATACAGAGAATTGGTAATTGAAATAAAACATTTGGAATACTGTCCATTGAGAAGTCAATCCTACATTAGAAATCTCTTGTAAACCCCTGAAATAACACATTTAGAATACTGTCCATTGAGGAGTCAATCTTACATTAGAAATCTCTTGTAAACCCCTGAAATAACACATTTGGAATACTGTCCATTGAGGAGTCAATCTTACATTAGAAATCTCTTGTAAACCCCTGAAATAAAACATTTGGAATACTGTCCATTGAGGAGTCAATCCTACGTTAGAAATCGCTTGTAAACCCCTGAAATAAAACATTTCGAATTTTGTTCATTGAGTGGTCAGCCCAATGTCAGACATGACTCTTAATCTTCATTCTTAAGACAATTTCTGTTTTGGTGTGATTTAATTTATGACACGTATTTTTCGGATAAATATGAATATTTTTGACAAAATTATGGAAACAGCCATGCAATTCCCTCATACAGACGGATGAGATATTTCCACAGTTAGCATACTTGAAACCGTCTTGACAAATATTTGACTTATTTTTATGAAGATGATCATAATAAACGTTTCTATCTTAAAGCGAGGGAAAACTGTTTTCGACGTTAAACGCGCGTGTTTGCACGAGATTTTACCTTATAAGGAAACAGGATTGCAGAGTACATCACGCGGTAATGCAATCTTCTCGTGAAATTCCAGGCAGCTTTCAGAAGCTGATAAAATCTGGCAAATGAAAGACAATAAAGTCAAAGCGTGAGACGTGCTTCATAATGGAAGCTGTGTTCTTTTAGGCACAGTGTTGAGTTTTCCTGACACTTAGTGACCCTTCCGATCCACGGGCAGAATTTAGTGAATAACCGGCCTCTGTTAGTTTTCTCGTAAGTTCACTTCGAACCAATTAGAATCCTGTACAAGGGAAACGCCTTATTTGGCGGGTGGCATCGTTATCAATGACGGTTTTTCGTCTTCCGTTAGCCATGACACCAGAGGGCACTGAATAGTTGTTAAAGTCATCATTTAGGTAATATGAGGAAAAAAGGTTATTTATATATCAATGGAAAGTGTATTAAAAACAAATTCTTTCATTTACAGGATGCAATAAAGAGTTTCAAAACGGCATATTTTTTATTTAGCTTTATACAACTAATTTCTTAACATAGTATATTAAGTACCGTGTAAAATATCTTATTAACACGTTTCCTCATAA